CCTGTATAAATAATGTGACTTCAGTTAAAGTACTAATACCACAGTGTATAAATACTCTGTTACAATAAAGTCCTGTATTCATAATGTTACTTCAGTTAAAGTACTAATACCACAGTGTATAAATACTCTGGTACAATAAAGTCCTGTATTCATAATGTTACTTCAGTTAAAGTACTAATACCACAGTGTATAAATACTCTGGTACAATAAAGTCCTGTATAAATAATGTTCCTTCAGTTAAAGTACTAATACCACAGAGTATAAATACTCTGTTACAATAAAGTCCTGTATTCATAATGTGACTTCAGTTAAAGTACTAATACCACAGAGTATAAATACTCTGTTACAATAAAGTCCTGTATTCATAATGTTACTTCAGTTAAAGTACTAATACCACAGTGTATAAATACTCTGGTACAATAAAGTCCTGTATTCATAATGTTACTTCAGTTAAAGTACTAATACCACAGAGTATAAATACTCTGGTACAATAAAGTCCTGTATAAATAATGTGACTTCAGTTAAAGTACTAATACCACAGAGTATAAATACTCTGTTACAATAAAGTCCTGTATTAATAATGTGACTTCAGTTAAAGTACTAATACCACAGAGTATAAATACTCTGGTACAATAAAGTCCTGTATAAATAATGTGACTTCAGTTAAAGTACTAATACCACAGTGTATAAATACTCTGTTACAATAAAGTCCTGTATTCATAATGTTACTTCAGTTAAAGTACTAATACCACAGTGTATAAATACTCTGGTACAATAAAGTCCTGTATTCATAATGTTACTTCAGTTAAAGTACTAATACCACAGTGTATAAATACTCTGGTACAATAAAGTCCTGTATAAATAATGTTCCTTCAGTTAAAGTACTAATACCACAGAGTATAAATACTCTGTTACAATAAAGTCCTGTATTCATAATGTGACTTCAGTTAAAGTACTAATACCACAGAGTATAAATACTCTGTTACAATAAAGTCCTGTATTCATAATGTTACTTCAGTTAAAGTACTAATACCACAGAGTATAAATACTCTGGTACAATAAAGTCCTGTATTCATAATGTGACTTCAGTTAAAGTACTAATACCACAGTGTATAAATACTCTGGTACAATAAAGTCCTGTATTAATAATGTTACTTCAGTTAAAGTACTAATACCACAGTGTATAAATACTCTGGTACAATAAAGTCCTGTATTCATAATGTGACTTCAGTTAAAGTACTAATACCACAGAGTATAAATACTCTGGTACAATAAAGTCCTGTATAAATAATGTGACTTCAGTTAAAGTACTAATACCACAGTGTATAAATACTCTGTTACAATAAAGTCCTGTATTCATAATGTTACTTCAGTTAAAGTACTAATACCACAGTGTATAAATACTCTGGTACAATAAAGTCCTGTATAAATAATGTTACTTCAGTTAAAGTACTAATACCACAGTGTATAAATACTCTGTTACAATAAAGTCCTGTATTCATAATGTGACTTCAGTTAAAGTACTAATACCACAGAGTATAAATACTCTGTTACAATAAAGTCCTGTATTAATAATGTTACTTCAGTTAAAGTACTAATACCACAGTGTATAAATACTCTGGTACAATAAAGTCCTGTATTCATAATGTGACTTCAGTTAAAGTACTAATACCACAGTGTATAAATACTCTAGTACAATAAAGTCCTGTATTCATAATGTTACTTCAGTTAAAGTACTAATACCACAGTGTATAAATACTCTGTTGCAATAAAGTCCTGTATAAATAATGTTACTTCAGTTAAAGTACTAATACCACAGTGTATAAATACTCTGTTGCAATAAAGTCCTGTATTAATAATGTTACTTCAGTTAAAGTACTAATACCACAGAGTATAAATACTCTGGTACAATAAAGTCCTGTATTAATAATGTTACTTCAGTTAAAGTACTAATACCACAGAGTATAAATACTCTGTTACAATAAAGTCCTGTATTCATAATGTGACTTCAGTTAAAGTACTAATACCACAGAGTATAAATACTCTGGTACAATAAAGTCCTGTATTCATAATGTGACTTCAGTTAAAGTACTAATACCACAGTGTATAAATATTCTGGTACAATAAAGTCCTGTATTCATAATGTGACTTCAGTTAAAGTACTAATACCACAGAGTATAAATACTCTGTTAAAATAAAGTCCTGTATTAATAATGTGACTTCAGTTAAAGTACTAATACTACAGTGTATAAATACTCTGGTACAATAAAGTCCTGTATTCATAATGTTACTTCAGTTAAAGTACTAATACCACAGTGTATAAATACTCTGGTACAATAAAGTCCTGTATTCATAATGTGACTTCAGTTAAAGTACTAATACCACAGTGTATAAATACTCTGGTACAATAAAGTCCTGTATTCATAATGTTACTTCAGTTAAAGTACTAATACCACAGTGTATAAATACTCTGTTGCAATAAAGTCCTGTATAAATAATGTTACTTCAGTTAAAGTACTAATACCACAGTGTATAAATACTCTGTTGCAATAAAGTCCTGTATTAATAATGTTACTTCAGTTAAAGTACTAATACCACAGAGTATAAATACTCTGGTACAATAAAGTCCTGTATTAATAATGTTACTTCAGTTAAAGTACTAATACCACAGAGTATAAATACTCTGTTACAATAAAGTCCTGTATTCATAATGTGACTTCAGTTAAAGTACTAATACCACAGAGTATAAATACTCTGGTACAATAAAGTCCTGTATTCATAATGTGACTTCAGTTAAAGTACTAATACCACAGTGTATAAATATTCTGGTACAATAAAGTCCTGTATTCATAATGTGACTTCAGTTAAAGTACTAATACCACAGAGTATAAATACTCTGTTAAAATAAAGTCCTGTATTAATAATGTGACTTCAGTTAAAGTACTAATACTACAGTGTATAAATACTCTGGTACAATAAAGTCCTGTATTCATAATGTTACTTCAGTTAAAGTACTAATACCACAGAGTATAAATACTCTGTTACAATAAAGTCCTGTATTCATAATGTTACTTCAGTTAAAGTACTAATACCACAGAGTATAAATACTCTGTTACAATAAAGTCCTGTATTAATAATGTTACTTCAGTTAAAGTACTAATACCACAGTGTATAAATACTCTGTTACAATAAAGTCCTGTATTAATAATGTTACTTCAGTTAAAGTACTAATACCACAGAGTATAAATACTCTGTTACAATAAAGTCCTGTATTAATAATGTGACTTCAGTTAAAGTACTAATACCACAGTGTATAAATACTCTGTTACAATAAAGTCCTGTATTGATAATGTTACTTCAGTTAAAGTACTAATACCACAGTGTATAAATACTCTGGTACAATAAAGTCCTGTATTAATAATGTTACTTCAGTTAAAGTACTAATACCACAGAGTATAAATACTCTGTTACAATAAAGTCCTGTATTCATAATGTGACTTCAGTTAAAGTACTAATACCACAGAGTATAAATACTCTGGTACAATAAAGTCCTGTATTCATAATGTGACTTCAGTTAAAGTACTAATACCACAGTGTATAAATATTCTGGTACAATAAAGTCCTGTATTCATAATGTGACTTCAGTTAAAGTACTAATACCACAGAGTATAAATACTCTGTTAAATAAAGTCCTGTATTAATAATGTGACTTCAGTTAAAGTACTAATACTATAGTGTATAAATACTCTGGTACAATAAAGTCCTGTATTCATAATGTTACTTCAGTTAAAGTACTAATACCACAGAGTATAAATACTCTGTTACAATAAAGTCCTGTATTCATAATGTTACTTCAGTTAAAGTACTAATACCACAGAGTATAAATACTCTGTTACAATAAAGTCCTGTATTAATAATGTTACTTCAGTTAAAGTACTAATACCACAGTGTATAAATACTCTGTTACAATAAAGTCCTGTATTAATAATGTTACTTCAGTTAAAGTACTAATACCACAGAGTATAAATACTCTGTTACAATAAAGTCCTGTATTAATAATGTGACTTCAGTTAAAGTACTAATACCACAGTGTATAAATACTCTGTTACAATAAAGTCCTGTATTGATAATGTTACTTCAGTTAAAGTACTAATACCACAGTGTATAAATACTCTGGTACAATAAAGTCCTGTATTCATAATGTTACTTCAGTTAAAGTACTAATACCACAGTGTATAAATACTCTGTTACAATAAAGTCCTGTATTAATAATGTGACTTCAGTTAAAGTACTAATACCACAGAGTATAAATACTCTGGTACAATAAAGTCCTGTATTCATAATGTTACTTCAGTTAAAGTACTAATACCACAGTGTATAAATACTCTGTTACAATAAAGTCCTGTATTGATAATGTTACTTCAGTTAAAGTACTAATACCACAGAGTATAAATACTCTGTTACAATAAAGTCCTGTATTAATAATGTGACTTCAGTTAAAGTACTAATACCACAGTGTATAAATACTCTGTTACAATAAAGTCCTGTATTGATAATGTTACTTCAGTTAAAGTACTAATACCACAGTGTATAAATACTCTGGTACAATAAAGTCCTGTATTCATAATGTTACTTCAGTTAAAGTACTAATACCACAGAGTATAAATACTCTGTTACAATAAAGTCCTGTATTAATAATGTGACTTCAGTTAAAGTACTAATACCACAGTGTATAAATACTCTGTTACAATAAAGTCCTGTATTGATAATGTTACTTCAGTTAAAGTACTAATACCACAGTGTATAAATACTCTGGTACAATAAAGTCCTGTATTCATAATGTTACTTCATTAAAGTACTAATACCACAGATTATAAATACTGTTACAATAAAAGTACATGAAAATACAACATTAATATTGTATGTGTAAGGTAGAATAATCAGGAAAAAGTGCTTTAAAGTATAAAAGCAGTAAAATGTCCGTCTGTGTGTGTTGACAGCATGGGGAACCTGATCAAGGTGTTAACCAGAGACATCGACCACAATGGAGGAAACTTCTTCCTGGACTTTGAGAGTAAGACACACACACACACACACACACACACACACTCACTCACACAGTCAGAGAGACGGCAGAGAGCGTGTGCTTGACCTTTGACCCCTCCCCCACCTGCAGACGCTCAGCCCTCGCAGTCGGAGACGGCGGTGTGGGAGGAAGTGAACCAGGTGCTGACGGAGTCTCGGGTCATCCTGGAAGACCTGCAGTCGTACAGAGGAGCAGGAGAGGAAATACGACAGGTAATACATGACGACGGCAGAGGGGGAATGAAGCTAAGTACTTTAAATTAGAGGTACTTGTACTCCACTGCATCTCAGAGGTGAATATTGCACGTTTAGTAGTTTAATGAGCTCAAGCTTAAACATCTACAGCAGTAAAAATGAAGCAGCTTGAATATAAATTTAGAAAGATGAGCTAAGAGTGAAACACTGACAGGAACATTTTACTGCACTGTGAGCACTTTTACTTTCATGTTTTAGGTACATTGTAAAGTACATTGTTAGTAGTCTGGTGAAGGTTTGTGTTGGTATCGTAGTTGTTTGTTGCTCTGAGGATCGCTGTATGGTTGTGACTTCTGTTGATCTATTCTGCTGAGAACAAACTGTGTGTGTGTTGTCAGGCCATCCAGAGTCCTGGTGTGGAGGGGGTCCAGGAGAAGGCCTGGTCAGCTGTGGTTCCTCTGGTGGCTAAACTCAAAACCTTCTACGAGTTCTCCCAGAAGCTCGGTAAGAACCTGAAAACACTTTAAATAAACATCTACAAACTTTCGGGCTGTCGACGTCAGTAAACGTTGTTTCCTGTTTGTTACATTATGAATTTCAAGCTGCAGCGTCTCATTTCCACAAATACAAAATAAGAACAAAAACATGTACAAAACAAAACAGATAGACGTAACGCTCCGTGAGCTGCTTCAGCTGTTAAAATCAGGAAGTCGCTCAATGAAAGGGACGATAAATGCAAGTTCATGCATCATTTAGAAAACGTACAACGGAGCAAAATAAACAGATGCATGTAAAAAAGAAAAGAAGGTGAGTTCACTGACCACCACCAGCGCGGTACAGCCAACCACATCAAGAGAATAAGGTCGAGTCAGAACTGAACGCTGAAAGGGGAAGATTCCTCCGGTCAGGAGCTGCGTTAAAATGGAAAGAAGCTGATGGATGTGGAGTTAGTCGTGGTGAAAACTTACCGTCCCGCTGTGTCTCCTCCCTCCCTTCTCCTCCCCCCTCAGAGTCCAGTCTGCGATGTCTCCTGGACGTCCTCACCAGCTCCGCTTCGACTCCCACTCAGCATCTGGAGCAGAAACAGGCTCTGGCTCGTCAGTTCGCCCACATCATGCACTTCACGCTGCGCTTCGACGAGCTCAAGGTCTGCTCACGCTGCTCTGCACCTCCTGCTCCTCCTCCTCCTCCTCCTCCTGCATCTCCTGCTCCACCTCCTGCACCTCATGTTCCTCCAGCATCTCCTGCTCCACCTCCTGCACCTCATGTTCCTCCTCCTGCATCTCCTGCTCCACCTCCTGCTCCACTTCCTGCTCCACTTCCTGCTCCTGCTCCACCTCCTGCATCTCCTGCTCCACCTCCTGCTCCACCTCCTGCTCCTGCTCCACCTCCTGCATCTCCTGCTCCACCTCCTGCTCCACTTCCTGCACCTCATGTTCCTCCTTTTCCACCTTCTGCATCTCCTGCTCCACTTCCTGCTCCTGCACCTCCTGCTCCTCCTCCACCTCCTGCATCTCCTGCTCCACCTCCTGCTCCTCCTCCACCTCCTGATCCACCTCCTGCTCCTCCTCCACCTCCTGCTCCACCTCCTCCACTTCCTCCACCTGCCCCACCTCCTGCTCCTCCTCCACCTCCTGCACCTCATGTTCCTCCTGCTCCTCCTCCACCTCCTGCATCTCATGTCCCTCCTGCTCCTGCTCCACCTCCTGCTCCTCCTCCTGCTCCTTCACCTCCTGCACCTCATGTTCCTCTTGCTCCTCCCCAACCTCCTGCTTCTTCTGCACCACCTCCTGCTCCTCCTCCTGTTCCTACACCTCTTGCTCCTCATGTTCCTCCTGCTAATCCTGCTCCTCCTCAACCTCCTGCTCCTCCTCCACCTGCACAGCTCCCTGCTCCTCTTGTACTTGTTCCACCTCCTCATCTACCCTCCCTCCTCTTGTCTTCATCTACTTCACCTCATCTGCCACCTCCTTTATTTTGAGTTCCACGTCCGCTGCTCCTCCTTCCTCCTCCTCCACTGTTGGAAATTCACTAAGTAATTTACTCAAGTACTGCACTTAAGTACACAATCAATGTACTTGTATTTTACTTGAGTATTTTCATTGTATGCTGCTTTATACTTCTCTCCACTTCATTTATCTGACAGCAGGAGTTACTCGTCACTTTACATGTAAACTCAGCTCGTTTGATTTTAAAACAATTACATTTTAAATATTGTATTGTAAATTTATATTTATGATTCTTTACTTTTGCAGTACTTTTTTCTTTTCTCTTTTGTTTGTATATGAAGAACTACTTGGCAATAAACAGATTCTTAACTGATACAGATTAGGATTTTAAAGTATGAACAAAACATCTGATTATTAAAACACTGTTACAGATTAAAGTACTCAGTAAATAAAAAACTTAGTACTAGCTCCACATCAGTAAAATGTGTTAGTATAAACGCCAGTTTTCTGCAGAACCTACTCTCACTGTACTGGTATTTTATATTCCTGTACTGCTACTTTTACTTACCTAAATGATCTGA